TGTGTGTATAAGTGTAGTGTGTAGTGTGTGTGTAGTGTGTGTGTGTAGTGTGTTAGGTAATGTGTAAGTGTGTGTAGGTGTGTAGGTGTGTGAATTGTGTGTGTGGAGGTTTGTTGTGTGTGTGTAGGTGTAGGTGTGTGTTAAGTGTGGTGGTGTAAAGTAGTGTAGGTGTGTGTAGGTAGGTGTGTGTGTGTGTGGGTGTGTGTGGTGTGGAGTAGTGTGTGTGTGTGTGTGTAGGTGTGTGTGTAAGGGTGTGTAGGTGTGTGAAGTGTGTGTGTAGGTATGTGGTGTGTGTGTGTGTGTGTGGTGTTAGTGTGTGTAGTGTAGTGTGTGTAAGTGTGTGGTGTGTAGGTGTAGGTGTGTAAGTGTGTGTGTAGGTGTGGTTGTGTGTGTGTGTGGTAGGTGTAGTGTGTGTGTGTGTAAGTGTGTGTGTGTGGGTGTGTGGTGTAAGTGTGTGTGTGTGTGTGTGTAGGTGTGTAGGTGTTGTGAAGTGTGTGTGTAAGGTGTAGGTGTGTGGAAGTGTGTCGTGTGTGTGTGTGTGGAAGTGTAGGTGTGTGGAAGTGTGTGGAAGTGTGTGTAGTGGAAGTGTGTGTAAGTGTGTGTGTTGTGTGGAAAGTGTGTGTGTGTGTGTAGTGTGTAGTGTGTGTGTGTGTAGTGTGTGTGTAGGTGTGTGTGTGTAAGTGTGTGTGTAGGTTGTAGGTGTGTGTAAGTGTGTGTGTAAGGTGTGTGTGTGTGTAGGTGTAGTGTGTGTAAGTGTGTGTAGGTGTAGGTGTGTGTAAGTGTGTGTGTAAGGTGTAGTGTGTGTGGTAAGTGTGTGTAGGTGTAGGTGTGTGGTAAGTGTGTGTAGGTGTAGGTGTGTGTGTGTGTGTAGGTGTGGTGGGTGTAGTGTGTGTGTAGTGTAGGTGTGTGGGTGTGTGTGTAGGTGTAGGTGTGTGTGTGTGTGTTGTGTAGGTGTAGGTGTGTGTGTGTGTGTGTAGGTGTAGTGTGTGGAAGTGTGTGTGTAGGTGTGTGTAGTGTGTGTGTGGTGTGTGTGTATGTGTGTGTGTGTGTGGTGTAGGTGTAGTGTGGTGTGGTGTGTAGGTGTGTGTGTGTGTGTGTAGGTGTAGTGTGTGTGTGTGTGTGTGTGTGTGTGTATGTGTGTAGTGTAGGTGTGTGTGTGTGTGTAGGTGTGTGTGTGTGTGTGTGTGTGTGTGTGGTGTGTGTGTGTGTGTGTGTGTAGTGTGTGTGTGTGTGTGTGTGTAGTGTAGGTGTGTGTGTAAGTGTTGTGTGTGTGTGTGTGTGTGTGTGTGTGTGTAGTGTGGTGTGGTGGTGTGTAAGTGTGTGTGGCGTGTGTGTTGTGTGTGTGTGTGTGTGTGTGTTGTGTGTGTGTGTGTGTGTGTGTGTGTGTGTGTGTGTAAGTGTGTGTGTGTTGTGTAAGTGTGTAAGTGTGTGTGTGTGTGTGTTGTGTAAGTGTTGTGTGTGTGTGTGTGTGTGTGTGTAAGTGTAAGTGTGTGTGTGTGTGTGTAAGTGTGTGTGTGTGTGTGTGTGTGTGTAAGTGTTGTGTGTGTGTAAGTGTGTGTTGTGTGTAAGTGTGTTGTGTGTGTGTGTGTGTGTGTGTGTGTGTGTGTGTAAGTGTGTTGTGTGTGTGTGTGTGTGTAAGTGTGTGTGTGTGTGTGTGGTGTGTGTGTGTGTGTGTGTGTGTGTGTGTGTGTGTGTGTGTGTTGTGTGGTGTGTGTGTGTGTGTAAGTGTGTGTGTGTGTGTGTGTGTGTGTGTGTGTGTGTGTTAGGTGTAAGTGTGTGTGTGTTTAGGTGTAGGTGTAGGTGTGAGTGTGTGTGTAGTGTGTGGTGTAGTGTGTGTGTGTAGGTGTAGGTGTGAAGGTGTAGGTGTGTGTGTGTGTGTTTAGGTGTGTGAGTGTGTGTGTGTGTTAGGTGTGTGTGTGTGTTTAGGTGTGGTGTGTGTGTGTTTTAGGTGTGTGTGAGTGTGTGTGTGTTAGGTGTAGGTGTGAGTGTGTGTGTGTTTGTAGGTGTGAGTGTGTGTGTGTTTAGGTGTAGGTGTGAGTGTGTGTGTGTTTAGGTGTAGGTGTGAGTGTGTGTGTGTTTAGGTGTAGGTGTGTGTGTGTGTTTAGGTGTAGGTGTGATGTGTGTGTGTGTTTAGGTTAGTGTGAGTGTGTTTGTATTAGGTGTAGGTGTGAGTGTGTGTGTGTTTAGGTGTAAGGTGTGTGTGGTGTGAGTGTGTGTGTGTGTTGTGTGTGTTAGTGTAGTGTGTGTGTGTGTTGTTTTAGGTGTAGGTTGTGTGTGTGTGTGTTAGGTTAGGTGTGTGTGTGTTGTGTTTAGGTGTAGGTGTGTGTTGTGTGTGTTTAGTGTAGTGTGTGTGTGTGTGTGTTTTTTAGGTGTGTGGTGTGTGTGTTAGGTGTAGGTGTGAGTGTGTGTGTGTGTAGGTGTGTGTGTGTGTACATGCATGTGTAGTAACAGGAACAGTGAGAGTTTGTGTTGGTAATTAAGTGTTTATTCGTGACAATACAAGGGACAGTTACACCTCACATTGTTACAGCCTGTAACAAGATCTATCCCTTCTCAAGTTCTCGAAGGACTGTCCTATCATTCAATTTGCAGATACCACAATTTATTAAGAGAAATATTCAGTCTGTGCACTTTGTAATCCTGCAGGTGGCATTAAGGATAAACCCTGTATATTTATCCATTTTGTACAGGAATATACTGATTGGTAATTAGATTTGGTTATCATGAGTTTAAAGGGCAGAGATAAGATGTATGTACAATACATGTATCAATGGCCAGAAATTGTAATTTTTCTTTGTACACTTTATCATTCTCTCTCTCTCTCTCTCTCTCTCTCTCTCTCTCTCTCTCTCTCTCTCTCTCTATATATATATATATATATATATATATATATATATATATATATATATATATATATAGATATATAGATATATATATATATATATATATATATATATATATATATATATATATATATATATATACACACTTTTAAGAATATAACATTAGTTTTGTTTTGAACTTACAAAAGCTTTTTCTTGTTTCCTTGTCAAGGTCCGTGGCATTGGCTGTTTTACTGACATTGGTCTCGGCTGTTGACCGAGGCAATTTCAAAAGTTGCCAGCAAAGTAGTTTTTGCAGGTGAGTATTGGACATGGAAGGATCACCCCACTTGGGAAATCCGTCTATGCTGAATATTACCAGTTTTGAGCTATGAATGTATTCTTATTTGATAACACATCAGGCACACAATTCTTAAACTTAAGACACCTATAAAAATATTGTTATAAATATTTTTTGTTAGTGTTTCTCATTAGAGAGAAAATTAATGAAGATTAATAAGTAGACATTCACATTAATGCTGATATTTATTACCCCTCCTGATTTTTTACAGACGACATCGTGCTGTGAAACCCGGAGAAAGTCCATATGCACTCCTCACCAACACAGTGACAGTGAATGATGCAGGGCTAGTAGGAGATGTCATTAATGAAAACAATAGAATTGTTTTTACTTTAGAAATATACCCTTTAAAGGATTCAACTGTGCGTATTAAAATAAATGAAAAAAATCCTATCAAGCCCAGGTTTGAGGATCCGTATGCCTTAGTAAAGGATATTCATGGAGAAAGGTATATAGAATTAATAGATATGTTCTTTTTTTACATGATTATATATTGAATGAAATATATTTCAATTTACATTTTTATTTGCGTATGCATTATTATTTCAAGGTCTCTATTTTCATCTTTGGGTTGCTGATTGATTAGACATCACATTTTTATTTGCACATATTTGCAAATATATCTAATCAAATAATCTATTTACAGTTTTGAGGTCGTTGATCAATCTGCTCAAGGAGTGACAGTTAAATTCGGATCACATCGTGCTGTTGTAAATGCAAAACCTTTGAAGATTGATATCTATAATGGTAATGATCTTGTAGTGAGCACAAATGCTCGGGGACTTCTCAAATTTGAACACTACAGGAATAAACCCGGAAAGTAAGTTTGTTGAGACAGAGAATAGGTGGATGTTTTTTTTTTTGTGTGTGTGTGTATTATAGATATATTCCTTTGGGTATGTTCCTAGAATACATGTATATCTCTCAATTTATCTATACAGCAAGTTTATTTGTATGTAGGCCTATGTGACCTTTGTTACAGGTATATGAAACTTTCAAGTATTTATTCTACATATGTTCCATTTCTTGACACCCCCTTATTCTTTCTTAATGGTACAGTGAGGAACAGCCTGCAGAGGGAGAGGGAGAGCCCAATGCCCTTCCAGCTGACGATCAGGAAGAGGACAAAGATGGATTGTGGGAGGAGTCCTTCAAGGGCCACACTGACTCCAAGCCTCTGGGGCCGGCCTCAGTGGGCATGGATATATCCTTTGTCAACTCCAAACATGTATATGGAATACCAGAGCATGCGGACTCTTTCTCGTTGAGAGAAACCACGTAAGTTCTTTTTTTTTTGTGTGTCTTTGGAGCTTGTCTATGAATCATGATTTTGTAGTATTGGAAACTTTAGGTAGGTAGATGTATGATGTACTGTAGTTATTCTGTGGAGTTTTGTTTGTGCGACTGTTTGGGTTATTGGTGAGAGTTTGTGTGAGTTTTGTCAAGATGTTTTGGGAGAAAGAAGTGTCATGGAGAGTTGTTTTGACTTAATTAGAACTTGTGTTCTGAATATTTGAAGTATTCTGTTAGTCACTGAAAAAGACTTACTGCACGATTGTTAATGATAAGGTGTTAGTACTGATATACATTTATATTTTTTATTCTTTTATTTTTGATAACAGGTCAACGGATCCCTATCGATTGTACAACTTAGATGTTTTTGAATATGAAGTAGACAATCCTATGGCTCTCTATGGTTCTGTACCAGTAATGCTCTCCCAGACTGCACGGCACACTACAGCTGTGTTTTGGCATAATTCTGCTGAAACATGGATTGATATTAAGGTGAGCACAATGTGTAAGTACATCCTCAAAAATCTAATTTGAAGATATTGTTCTTTTGCTTGAATTATGAAGGAGGTCATTGACAATTTTTTTCGCTCCTTATTACAGAAATTGCCGGACAGCAATGTTGTGTCTTCCATCACTGGTTTCTTCTCCAGTGGAGAGACTGACCCTCCACAGGTGTCTACACATTGGTTCTCGGAATCTGGCATCATTGATGTGTTTGTCATGCTGGGACCAAAACCCATGGATGTGTTCAGACAGTATGCCGGTCTTACAGGATCTCAGAACCTACCACCGGTAATGTATTTAATGAAGTTTTATATTTGTATATGATCTAGTACATGCAGGAGAGAATTTATTTATTCATTTTATTTATTTATTTATTTTTACTACGACAAATGTCTAGGTAGGCTTTGCAAAATAACTTTCATTTAGCATGTATATCATTGGGAAATTACTTTTCTATTTCAGCTTTTTAGTCTGGGATATCATCAGTGCCGTTGGAACTACAATGATGAAGAGGATGTACGTCAAGTGCATGAAAACTTTGACAAACATGATCTTCCTTTGGATGTGATGTGGTTAGATATTGAACACACTGATGGGAAAAGGTAAACAAGTTTGTGATACATTAGCATTCAATTCTTTTAATTAAAGATAGATACCTAAAGTAAATTTTTGTGTAACACACATGATTTAGCTTTACATTTAATGCACATATTTTAGAGGTTTGAAAGTACATTTATGGAATATTGCAAATTATAGGATGTGGATTTATGTATTTATGATTTGTATGAAAAAATTAATGTATTAAAAATCAGATAGGCAAAGAATAGAGGGTGCCCTGGATTATTTAGACCAAAGAACAAAAATTGATAAATAAAATGTTTGAATTAGAGAATTCACAATATATTTACAGATTCAAGTTAACTTAAAGAATAAAGTGATTGAAATATTAGAAAATGTAAAACTAACATGTATGAAGAAACTGTTTTCATTCTGTATAGCATTGAAATTCCATAGTGGAGAATCAACCTCTTGTGTATTAGATTTGGTATATAAGCAATCAGAAGCCATGTTAACTTAGAAATACAGTAGTACTAAGTTACTTCTGTTAGCTACTTCTTTTATTGAGAACATATGGTAAACCTTTTTTCCTCCTCACAAGTACTGTTATCATTGAAAGTAATGTTTATCAGATGTGAAATAAAAGTTATCAAGAAATTGTTATTTCTGATGGAAAGCATTTATATGTGTGGGGTTGTAGCTAATGATCTACTCATGTTCTGGTTGCAGGTATTTCACATGGGACCATTACAAATTCCCGAACCCACTGGAAATGACAGCCAACCTTACTGCAAGAGGACGCAAACTTGTGACCATTATTGACGTCCATTTCAAACGGGACAATAATTATTTCTTTTATAAAGAAGTCCATGATAGAGACCTTTTTGTTCATACAAAAGATGGAAATGAGTTTGATGGTAAGTTTATTTTGTAATCTCAAAATTTACATGCCTTTTGAATTATCAGGTTTTGTTATGTTTTCCAAATTCACAACAGTTTGAAGAATATGAGCATATAGGTACGAAAAAAGCAGGAAACTTGGTGTAAAGAATGTGTTTTTAGCTAATGGAAGTTACATTGCTTAGGTTTCTTACTTGATATTTCATTATTTTATGACCTGTAACAAATGCTCTATTATGTAAAGGATACATTTCAGAAGGTTAATTAGGGATCATGCAGGATACAGGTTTCCACTTGAGCCGGATTTTGTGTTTGAATCTAATGTTTTTCTTGTATAGGGTGGTGCTGGCCAGGTTCTTCATCCTACATTGATATGACAAATCCTGAAGCACGAGAACACTACAGTGACACTTACCGACTTGATCGCTATAAGGTAATTTGTTGGCTTTTTTTCTAGATATTACCTCGGAATAAGTTTGTTTTATGAATCGGGATGGGTTTTCTAGATGTCAGAAAACATGAATTTCAACAAGGAAAGAAAAGCTCTATAATCAGCTATGAAAATGGCAGACAGTTACCAGTGCCTGGCTTGAATATACAAAGGGCACAGATCTTGTTGGACTTAGTACTGGATACCTCAAGTAGTAATGTGAAAGTCTTTATATCTGCCAAGTTGAATATGGAGAAAGAAAATAACCAGTTTTTAAAAATCAGTCACTTGTTTGGTGGACTGGTTGATGCCATCAAACCAAGATTATCATGAAAACTTTATTGACTTTCAGGGTTCCACCTTGGATACATTCACATGGAATGACATGAATGAACCCTCTGTCTTCAGTGGCCCAGAAATCACGATGCCCAAAGACAATTTACATCCTGGCATTGGGGTAGAACACAGAGAAGTTCACAATGCATATGGAATGCTGTTTGTAAGTATAAGTTGGTGTGTAGTAATCTGGCCTATGTAATAAGAGTTTGAAAAATCCTTTGGTTATTGTGTTAGTGAAATTTATGATTGTGGCTGCTAGTCAGTACAGCAGAGAAATATTTCAATATCTTTGTCAGCTGAAAGTCAATTGCTTTTTTTTTTTTTTTTTTTTTATTGTAGTTATTAACTATGAAATATTATTCTTAACCTGAACATTGAATTTCTCAGCATGAATCGACTTATGAAGGCCACTTGAAAAGGTCAGACAGACGCCTGCGACCCTTCCTTCTCACACGCGCCTTCTATGCTGGAACGCAGAGAAGTGCAGCTGTATGGACTGGTGACAACACAGCTGAATGGAGTCACCTGCGCATAAGTCAGCCCATGTTGCTGTCGCTTTCTGTTACAGGCATCACTCATGTTGGTGCTGATGTTGGGGGCTTCTTCGGTAATCCTGATGCTAACCTGCTTGCTCGATGGTATCAGGTAATATGAATGGCTGGGTAGTATTGATAGATTTTAATTTTTTGTATAAAAATATTTTCAGTTTACAATTGTTTGATTGTTTCTTACTAATATCATTATCGATCGATCAATCAGTTTACTGTACTATTAATATTGAATAAATTGCTAAGCTTTAATTTTTGTATTAAATGTGTATTTGAATTTCTCTGTGGCAAAACAACTCATTGGAGAGTCATTTATTTATCAAGCCATAATGTTACCAGCATCAGTATATATAGCTGCTAGTATGCATGTGCTTGTAACCTTCTGCATAGTGATGTTATTTTTTTTTTTTTTACAGGCAGCAGCTTTCCAGCCCTTCTACAGAGCCCATGCCCATCTTGACACCAAACGGCGCGAACCCTGGCTCTTCGATACGGAAACACTGCGCATTATCAGAAAATCCCTGCGGCAGCGCTATCAGCATCTACCTCTGTGGTATTCACTGTTCTATGAGAATGAGTTAACAGGTGCGATGCAGAGCTCATTTTTCAGTCGTTTTGTGATGACTTCAATTTGTAATGAATGATGTGATTTTCACTTCATGGTCTGCATGTATGTGCTGCATGTATGTACATGTATGCATATATATATATATATATATATATATATATAATATATATACTGTATTATTATATTTATTTTTTTCCTTTCATTTTCTTTTTCTTTTAGGTGCTCCACCAATGAGGCCTTTGTGGGCAAGTTTCCCAGAAGACGAAGCAACCTTTGGCATCGAGAGTGAGCATATGATCGGTTCTGCTCTTCTTGTCAATCCCATCACGGAGCCGGGAGCCGTCACAGCCAATGTTTACTTCCCAGCTGGAGTTTGGTACGACATAGAGGATTTGAGCATGCATCACGGGCCAAGCCACAAAGTTGTGTCTGCACCAAGGGACAAGGTAAAGAGATTTTGATTGCTTGTTATCTTTTCGTCTGGATTTAGATTGGCAGCGGTTTATGAAATAGGTTTTTAGTGTTTGATGTAATGTGTACTATTTTTTATATAAGTATGTAAAAGGATCTGGTATTTCCTAGAAGAAAGTGACTGACTGGAGTTCAAGAGTTATCTTTTGGGTTGGTAGTATTATTTTTCAGAAGATTTCCCTACCCTTGTGAGAACTTTTTGCATACTTTTTTTTTTTTTTTTTTTTTTTAGTTCTCTTTATGATTTGGTTCGGAACTCTTACTTGCCTAATGTTATATATGTTTGTTGGAAATTGTGTTTGTATAGTTAAAAGGCAAAGTTTCTCAATGATGAGATGATAATTTAAATTTTTTTCCACAGATCCCTGTATTCCAGCGAGGTGGAAGTATAATTCCTCGCAAGGATAGAGTTCGTCGTGCTTCTACCCTCATGCGTGAAGATCCCTACACACTTGTCATAGCCTTGGATTCTGATGGGAAAGCACAAGGCACACTGTACATAGATGATGAACACACTTTTGATTACAGACAGGTGTGTTCCTCCTCCTTTTTCTGTGTTTACCTATTTTGTATCGTCTATAGCACCTTTACTTGTTTTACTTATTTTAGTATGTAAGAAGCAGCCAAGGCTTGCATCAAGAATGCTTTAATGAATTCAAAGTGTAAATGATAAATGTGTAAACAAATGAAAGCAGAGACACAAGAAGACTTTGAAAGAATTGCAGTCTTTTAAATTCTTTTGGACATAAAGATTAGTGTGTATAAGTGGACTCACATAAAATCTTCTATTCTATTGCAGGGCAAATTCTTGTACTTGGCTTTCTCATATGAAGGTGGTGTTTTGACTTCAAAGAAGATAGATCCAAATGGAAGCTATGATACTGCATCCTGGCTAGAACGAGTTATTGTTATAGGACTCCACAAGCAGCCTACAAAAGTATCAGTCAATAGTGCCAGTGAGTATATTGTTTGTTTGTATATTAGTGTGGACTGGTGAATGTTGAAGATCTTAATTGTTTGTGTTATTACATCAGTTGACTTGATTTATAGTAATCATAATTTACAGGCTTCACAGGTGATGGTTAATTGAATTTGTTGAATTATTTTTCTTGCATGTAATGTGTCATTGATCATAATCCCTTCATTATTTCTTACAGCGGTGGGCACCCGGGACTTGGAAAGCACGTTTGAAAGCGGCAGCGCCACGCAGGGAAGCCAGCTAACCATACGCAAGCCAGGAGTCAGTATGCGAGAGGAGTTTACCATTACTATCCATTAATTCAATTGCTTGTATGACTGGCTGTCATTACAGCTGAGATACATAGCTTCATAAGTTTAATTAGATATTTTATAAACTTCATGCAGGTTGATGTTACAGATGTGAACTGTGTAACAGAAGGAAGAAAAAAATAGGATAGATTAATGATGGTATTTGTTCAACAGTACAAGTCCTAGATTTTTTTTTTTCTTTTGATTTTGTCCCTTTTCCCTTTGTCTTTGGTATTGGTCGATGGATTATCACGATTTTATAGGAAGAAGTTCAGGTTCCTACAGGAATGAGAGAATTGAATATGTTATTGAAGTTCAGTAATTTTTCTTATTCATATTATTGTTATTTTTTATTTCTTTGTTTTTTCTATTTAATTTAAGGTATATTAGATATTTTTGTAATAGTTGATAAAATACATGTGGTGTAATATGGTACTCAGATATGTTGTCAGTCCGTGTGAACTTTGTATGTAATGACACAATGCATGAAAGAAGCTTGCACAGTTGAAAGTGGGGGAAGAGTCAGTAAGCATTTGCCGAGACAGCTAAGGGCAAAACAGTCCATTCTAATGCATTGAGAGTAACCTATAGAAAGACAATGAATATAAAATGTTACAAACTCGAGTTCAAGAATTTATTGATACTGATATGTGGTTTTGAAAACTCTGATTTATGAGAGAAATATTTGTAAAGAAAAAATGAATAATTATGTAAGTCTGGAAACTGGTCAATACTCAGCCTTTGTGGGCTCTTTTTTTAATTCAAATGATGCCGGTAAGGATAGCCAGTGACGTGTCCTATATGATTGATTTTTATGAAAGTGCATTTTGACTTTTGTGATATTAACAGCATGACTGGTTAAGCCATTTACCTTCATTTCTTTGCATCTAAGGTATGGTTGGAGGTAACCATGAACATTGTTAGAACCACGTTTTACCAAGATGGTCCATTGAGACTAGTACCCTGGGAAATTCAGTGGTTCTCTTGGTCATCCATCATGGGTATTTTTGATGAATGTGTTACACAATGAACCAAAATTCCACCTTATTTTTTACAAACAAGGTTTCAATTCCCGGTGTTGGCAGTTGCATTTCCAGTCGATATTTTGATCAGAGTGACCAGTAGATACACCCCTGTCTGTTATCTTTGTGTGATTTTGTAAGATGTGCAAGCTATTTATTATTTATATGTTTCCACCCTCTTCTAAAGAGTGCAGTATAAGGGCAGATGGCAATATTTGAATAGGTTCGGCATGAGGATAAAGTACAGTAAGAAATAATATTAGTGGAATTGGCTGAATTGATATGAACCATTCAAATTCCTTTCAAATAATGGTAGACCATAAATCCATGAATTTTGATAACAGTTGTAACAATAAATCTTTTAACTCCAGTGCTTGAGGGTAGTTATATCCATTGTACAAAATAGATAAGTTTAAAGTTGGAAGCACTTACTGTGATAGCTATAATTTATTTATCAACCATGTATTAAATAACATAGAGGGCTATGATACATCATTAAAACCCTCTAGAGCAAGTGATAGGCTATGTACATCAGAGCCTTTTAGAAGTAGTGTCAGTATATATTTATTTCCAATCATGAAGAGTGAATAGTATATCAGAACACATGGAAGTGTATGTTGTCATGTCAGCCGTAAGAATTATGCAATTGGCAATTATTTTTCACAGTGGTTTTTATATCTGCAAGTTTTCTTAGAACTACATCACGTACATCACAAAAGAATTACTGGAGGTTTATTAAATAGTTATGATACATTTTAATATGATCATACATGTTCTGTACCCTGTTTGGCCACATGTCCCACATTCCAAATGTGTGTGTGAGTGCACAATGTATAAATAAAGAAAATTTTGTTATCAGTGGTTTTCATGACACACCTTTAGTGATTAATGATTTTGAAGGTGGTTTAAAAGCCTGTCCACACAGATGGGAATGATTGGTGGCAACTGTGAAGATGGCGCCAAGGGCTAGAAAATAACTGAAGACTAATTGTTTACTGTAGTTTGTCCGCCATTGATGGTCTCTATTCGTGCCTGCCTGTGTGGACATGGTATTAGTAAGGACTGTTACAGGGGTGAGGAGGGTAGGAAACGGAGACGTGCCTCTCTACATGGGCCTCAGCCCACGTCCCGGCCTATTTTTCAAGGTATTTTCTTCCTATCCTTTTCCTTCTCTTCTCTAACCCCTCTTATCAACTTTTAGGATGTTAGAGCCGTGGTGAAATAAGAAAAGACTGGCATTAGGTCAGTCTGACTGGGGATCGGGATTTGCATCGTTCTCAGGTGCGCAGAACTCGGTCACTGTTAAGAAGGGACAAGGAACAGTTTATTAGGAGTTGCAGAGGAGGTCGAGTCATTTCTTAGTAAATGACCTTGGTCCTGCATACCAAGCCTAGAGAAAGCTGAACTCCAAGCAC